ACTTCAGTTAGCCGCCGTGTGTCAACCAATCACGTCTTGTCACATGTCCACAACGTATGCCAATAAAGTGCCTAACAGACTCTTTAAGACACGCCCACAAGAGACAGGAACAAGTTTGTTAGCGAACATAAATTAGCAAAGCAAAGTTTAGCAGAAACTAATTCTGCTAACGGGTTTCCAAAGTTAGCAAAAACGCTAATCCGCTAAACAATGTTTTTCTCTGCTATTAGCTGCTACCAAATCTGTGCCCACCACTGCGTATAACGCAAGCAGCAGTGTGGAGAATCAGGGAGAAATAATTCAAATTCAGGTTTACCGTTAACCCCAATATAAATTTGCACCTGGCCAACTAGTCCAACTGAGCAAACGCGTAAAAAGGCTATAGTTGTATAAGTTCTGAATGTCAGGTTCAAACTAACAGCTACACAGAGTTAAGCTAACAGCTTTCAGGTTCAAGCTAACGGTACTCACAATCAACCTAATTGCTACACCGAATCAAGATTACAGCTACTAACAGCTACATAAAATCAAGCTAACAGCCGTCAGGTTTAAATTAACAACTACACAGACTGTAGCTAACAGCTATAAGCATGTGTCATTCAAATTCGACCCTTTGCCATTTAAATATACTTAAGTGTACACGTACTAACAGCAAATGCTACAATAGCAATTGATAATGTTTTTTTATACAATTGTTTATGTTGGTCGGACTTCCATCCATCCATTATCTTTACCCGCTTATTCCATTTTGGGTCACGGGGGTCGCTGGTGCCCATGTCCAGCAATCGCTGTGCGAGGGGCGGGGTACACCCTGGACGGGTCGCAAGTCCATCACAGGGACACATAGAGACAAACGAGACAAACAACCATTCACTCTCACTCACACCTAGGGACAATTTTAGAGTTACCAATCAGCCTAACATGCATGTTTTTGGTCTGTGGGAGGAAACCGGAGCACCCGGAGAAAACCCACGCATGCACGGAGAGAACATGCAAACTCCACCCAGAAAGGCCCCTGGACCGGGGTTTGAACCAAGGACCTGCTCGCTGAGAGGCAGCAGCTCTACCAGTTGCGCCACCGTGCTGCCGTTGGTATGACTTTTTAAAACCAAAGAACATTCTTGTTGCTATGCCAACTATGAGAACTGAGACATCTGGGTGGATGCTGTCACAAATCAACAGAGACAGATGTTCCCCCGGTCTAATACCAACAACAAAATGGTAACATTGGTTATGAACGG